AACCAGATGAACATTTGTCAGTGGCACCCCATAATACAACTTGCACGAACTGTAAGCTGCATCGCTTGTGGGGTCGACGCAGGCTGATAGAACACTTGCAGAGTCGAAGCATTGAATGCTCTTAAATGATGGAAGCGAGAAATTGATAGTAATACAAACAACTACAACAATGCTGTTGTCTTTCCCTCCCCCCTCCTCAGTGTGTCGTTGCTGGTTTTGGACTTGATGTCCTCACAGGACACACCACCCCGACACACCCCACGCCTCCTTGTTGCTGCCCCTTCTTTGTCTTGGGGCACTCCACTGTGGCGCCCATTGTCTGGATGGGACAGCGACAGTCACCCCGGGCTACCTTGCAAACAGCATCCTGAGCATCGGTGCCACGCCCAGCCCTCATCTGGCTGGGACCAAGAAGCAGCTGAGCATTGTGCAGCCAGCAACAGCAACGTCACCACGCAGGGTAAGGCCCGCTTTGCACACCAAAACCCGGCATGACATGGCCACCGAAAACACGCAGGCCTTCTAGAATCAGTTGAACATGGGGGCGGATGGTTTGATGGCCACCACGGCGACCCCAGACTGCAAGGGCAGCACACTTCCCAGAGGCACAGAAATTACAATCAACCATCTGGCGTCAGTGCGACTACAAGATGAAGCGTGCTCTGTTCTGCCACAAAAAGCTGGACTACCCACAGGATGCAGCCAATGGCCATGCCAGGTCCGCAATCCACAAACGCTGAGAATAAACACAGAGGGCACAAACAGAAAAAGGGCAACATGGCCATGTCTCGGGCCAAGGGCGCCAAACTGGAAGCAAACATGCCCCAGCCAGCATTTTCAGTTGGGCCGGCTTCCTCCACGCCCCCACCAAAAGCAGCCAGCGGCGCCGCACCCCCGTAAGAAGAATCGCGCAAAGGGGATGAGCACGAAAGGTGCATCGCACGAGCCCCTGAAAATGGCCACCCACCAGCCCGCAAACCACCTTCTGAGGGCAGCATCCTGAGGGCGACTCGCGAGCCTGTGTCTGTGTGCGCCCGCGCGCATGCCCCGCCACCCCGCTCCAGCAACTTGACTCCCCTCTGCCTGCCCCAGGATGGCCGTCACCTCCGATGCCGCCTTCCCGGCGCCCCCCTGCCCAACTCTAGCAACTCTCCCGGACCACTCCCCCCCGCCGACAATTGCACTCGCCCGCAAATCAGCCCGCTGCGTACATCCTGGTCCACTCCTTGGCCACCGCGATCGCGTCGCTCTCGTTGTCCTTCCAGTGCTTCGCGACCTCCTCCGCCAGCGGGTCGTCCGGGTTGGGCGCGGACAGCAGCGCCTGGATGCTCAGCAGCACTGTCCGGATCTGCAGCGCCGGGCTCCACTTGTCCTTGAGGATGTCCAGGCAGATGCGGCCCAGCCGGTCGATGTTGGGATGGTAGATCCGCGTCAGGAACCGCACCTTGGGCGCGGCCATCGGGTAGTCCTCGGGCAGGAAGAGCTCCAGCTTGAAGACGCCGCCGTCGTAGGGGGACTGCGACGGGCCCAGGATCATCACCGAGAAGTAGCGGAGGTTCTCCTCTGAGGGCGAGGCGCTGATGCCGGGAGCCGGCTCGCTCAGCAGCCGCTGCGTCTCCTTCACAATCCGGCGAGGCAGCTGCCCCGCGTTCGAGGCCGCCATCCCGGTCGACCAACCGCGCCCAAAATTCCCGCCGGCGCCTTTGAATGCCGCCGGGCCCGCCAATGGGGCGCTGAGCGCAGCGGACGCTGGGCAAAGCCTGGGGGGGGCCGCTTGGGGGGGAGCGAGGCGCCTGCCGCTGGTGGCGAATGGGAGGGGAACTTCTGGACAGATAACGCTCCAGGGCAGTCCCGCCAGCCCACTTTCGTTGCGGTACTGCGAGCCCCAGCGGGCTCGGATGTCGGCCAGGGGCCCGCCAGTGATATCATCCGTCCATCACACGCATCACCGACGTCAGGCGCCCCAAGACATGCACAAGGGGGCGCTGCGCCGCATGGCGTGCAAGTGAGGACGCCGGTGAGACCCGAGATCCTTGGCGCGTTCTTTTTGGGCGGAGGAAGGTTGTGGCCTGGTCGGATGGCGCGAACTTTGTCGGGAGGGGTGGGGTGGGGTGGGGGGGGGAGCAGCCTGATTGGGCCGTAGCAGTCGGCAAAGAGTTCACCGCGCGGATGTGGCGTCGACGGTCGCCGTGCATTTCTTGGCGCTTGCTGTGCGTGGTTTGCGTTGGCGTTGGCGGGGCGTTGGACGGGAGGCGATGCCCAGGCGGCGCGGAAAACGCTTCACAATTTTCCGTGGATGGGCGCAGTGCGCCGTTCCAACCCGCCAACCTGCTCAACGGCCACAGAATATGACAATTGCGTTTGCAATGCGAACGCCCCTCGCCCCCACTGTTCTTCGTCGCAAACAACGCAAAAAGGACAGAAACTCCATGGGAATTGTATTCTTTTCTAAATAAGATATTCTATGGCAATTATATTCTTTTCTAAATACTAGTTTTTTTAAAATGAAATAAATAACTAGCTCGGTAAAATAAACGCGAAAAAAAGCGATTCATGGTAGTTTTGGCAGGCGGGGAGGCCGCAGATACGCCCAGCCAGCGCCCAGCCCGCTGAGCCAGCCACCGCCACCGCCACACAACCCCGCCAGGCCGCAGGACCCGAGTCCAAGATGCTGCGCAGCGGCGCCTGGGCTCTCGCCCACGCCCTCCGCCGGTCCCGCGCCGCCGGCGGGCCCCTGCGGGCCTTCACGGCGTCCGGGCCGGCGCGCGAGGACGAGGCCGCAAAAAAGGTGGACAAGGATGCCTTCCTGGAGTCCTTCGTGAAGCTGGCGCCCTCCACCATGAACCCCCCGCACTTCTCCATAGACTGGCAGAAGGAGAAGGGGGAGAAGGAGGCGGAGGCCCCGGCGGCCGGCGTCCCCACCAAGCTGAAGCTCAACTTCTACATGCCCAACGGCGTGCTCTGCAAGGGGGAGGAGGTGCGGGGGTTCTGGAGTTTTTGATACTGGACGGATACCTGCCTGGAGATGAGGGGTTTGGCGCGCCGTGCATTGGCGCATCCGCCCCGCGAGTTTGTTGCGAGAGTCTTGTCCGCTTTGTGGCATATCATGCGCGAGGCCCAAGAGCGGGGGGCGGGGGGACGGCTTGATCGGGGATGGGGGGCTGGCGGGGTGGGTGGGAGTGATCGCGGAGGGACGTGGCTGTGCGTCATCCGATCGGAGGAAGACGGGGCGGCTGGGCGGCTGGATCGGCGGGGCGGGCAACCGAAGAGCATGATATGCGGTTGCGGAGACGGGGGGCTGTGGGCGTCGATCGGGTGCCTTGGATCGCGGGCCTGGCGGCGGGGAGAGGCGTGCGGGACGGATACAGGGGTCGTTGGAATTTGCTGTTCGTAGTGGTAGTTGGCCTCGCGGTGGGACTCCTGGGTGCTGCCCTGTTGCACAGTGCACACTCACTGGGTTGCCTCGAGCTGCCTTCAGCGTACTGCAGGAAATCGATACGCTGACAGCTCGGGGCCACCCACACTGCTTTAGACGCTATTGCTGGCTTGGGGCTCTGCATCCGAGTGGACATCCAATCCTCAAAGAGTAGGCCCTGTCCGTTCCTTTCCTTGAGTGTGGAGTGCTTGCATGGTCTTGTTGCTGCCTTCGCTGCCTGGCAGCGGGAGGGCGGCCTTTCCACACTGGCAAGCTCAGGTCGTAGCAGCCAGATTCCACCAAAAGACCTGTTCCTCAAGAGCCGTCCATGCTTGCTATTCTGGGGCTGATGGACCACGGTGTGACCGGGGGCCCTTGATGGGGTTCATCTATCCAGCGTCTGCTCGAACCAGCCAAGGTTGTGGCTTGAAATATTGCTGGCAGTGCCTGCTGTTGCTTATTCTGTGTATTCTGTGGATTTTGTACTGTCGATGCAAGTGGCTGACTCACAAGAGGTCCTGACTTCTTGCAGGTAGATTTGGCACTGATCCCTGCCGTTACCGGAGATTTTGGAGTCATGCCAGGGCACGTGCCCACAGTTGCGCAGCTTCGGCCTGGCATCGTGGCGGTCCACAAGGAAATGGACAAGGATGTGAAGAAGTACTTCGTCAGCAGCGGCTTTGCCTTTGTCCATGCCGACTCCACAGCGGATGTGTGTGCGGTTGAGGCAGTTCAGGTTGAGGACCTTGACCCAGAGGCCGTGAAGGCTGGCCTTGCGGAGTACACAGCAAAGTTGGGCGCTTTGCAGGGAAAGGGGGACGACTATGAGATCGCTGCTGCTCAGATCGGACTTGAGGTGTACTCGGCGATGAATGCTGCAATCCCTTCGTAGGAGGCGCAGCCTGCAGCTGAAGGTGCTGGGCGTAGTGTCCAGCCACGTCTTGTCTTTGGTGCTATGCCATGGTGGCCCTGGCGTTCCCAGAGAGGACAATTGTAGCTAAAAGGGGCTGGAGTGCTGGGGCCATGCACGTAAATCAACAGGAGAACTGCTGAACATGGAGTGCATCTGATGCTCGTCGAGGTGGTAGGACATGGATTCCTGCAGGCGCGACAACACGGGGATGGTGGTTGTGTGCATGTGTGGATCACATAGAGCTTTGCATGGTCTGTGGTGGAGCTGGCACTACGTGCAAGCGATGCGCAGTGCATGTCGTTGAGCTCCAACGAGTGGAGGCCAGTGGCGAACCTCGTTGCAGCCCGCAGAATATTGATTGGGCGGCAGGATCGGTGGAGCGCCCATAGCACAGCAAGGAATTGGAGGATTTCAGCCAACACTCCGCGTATTTCGTTTTTCAAGAGGGAAACGGAAAGTTTCTGGAGAACTGGACGGTCGAGAATCCCAGCGTTTCCAAGCTATGTTGCCAGCCTGACTGTCACCTGCCAGTGCATGCAAAGGCTGCTGCCGTCAATTACGTTCCCCCAATTAATGGGCATCGCATCCTGCGCGAACCAGCATTGTTCAACCTCAAGCATGCTGCTCGCATCAAGCCACTGCCAGTATTCCTCCCCATCGCCAGTACGCCCTTCATTCCCCACTGCCCGCGACCACATTGACACCCAAAGTGCCAGAGGCAAGTTCGTCCACAACTGACCTGGCAAGACTCTCTCTTCCATACACCAATCGTTTCAGCACCTGTTCTCGATCTGCGACGGCCCCATAAAACCTGGCATAGAATTCCTCTAAACTTGGCACGCCAACTCCCTGCTCCCCTCCCTGTTGTTCGCTGCAGTGTTCGTCTCCTGTCACGCCCCCGCTCCCATGGACACTCTCCAGCTGCTTCGTGAGAAGGTACGCAAACGCTGGCGACATCAGCTCCACAAGGAACAAATCCAGCAGCTTGGGGTAGTCAGTCGCCATCGCGTAAAGGACACGCAGCATTCCAGTGCTGCCGAGGCTGGCCAGCAGGCGGGCAGGCAGCCCATCCAGTCCCATGGCATCAGCACGTGCATGCATTTCAGAGTCAGTCTGAGAAGCTGACGCTGGCCCGCTGGGGCTCCCAGACATCGAGGTTCCCTGCTCGGACTGCGTGCCCCCGTGCACTGAAGTTGACGGCTCCTGATGGTCCCCCGCGGTGCACTCCTCGCTGCAGACAGCATCGCTGCCACCACAGACGTCTCCATGTTCTGGCAGCACCATGGCGCCAATGTGATCCACAAAGAGCGACAGGGCTCGCCGTTCGCGGCCAGGCAGACACGCCGCGGTGGGGCTTGCAGATAAGCCCCGGCTGACGGAAGAATCCTGAGAAATTTCTTCCCGCCCACGTTTGCGAGCCTTCTTTCTGGCTCTTGTTTCGGTGGGAGGACCGGCTGGGCCGTTTCCGTTGTCAGATGTGCCGGCCGAGAGTCCCGGTCCCGATTTCTCATGTTCAGCACATTCTGGCACTTCGATCGAAAGCGTCTCGCCAGCAGTACACCTGGCTTCCTCTTCCCTTGCGCCGCCACGTGGACTTGCGCACCTGTTCCTGTCATCTGCACCATCATCGTCAAGTTTTGACTTGCTTGCGACTGAGCAAGTGCCTTGGTCGGATTCTGCCATGCGGCGAGTGTGAGCGAGGCCGGATTTGGCCGCAGGGTGCGGGTCCTCGGCTTCCTGAGCAGCTTCCAGGTCCACGGGCTTGATGCTTGCAACCACTTTGTCCGTTTGCGATCTCACCAAGCTTTGGAACGCCTGCCTCACGTAGTATGCATCCATGTGGGTTCCGATGGACTTTCCGAAAGCGGAATGCCACCAAAAATTTATGGCAACCGTCATTTCTGGAAGACCACAGAAGGTCAGAGCTTCAGTTCGCAATTGGAGATCTGGTGCCTCAATGGTGAAACCCCCCCGGCGGCGGAATGCCTACCGGAAACACTGTGCGCCTTGGGCACCGCAAATGACTCGTGGAAAATGCAGATATGCCTTCCATGGAACGCCCCCTGTTGAAGGCAGCATCTTCTAACGAGGCTTTCAATTGGTGCGATGGAGGTTGTGCACACTCACAACTTTCAGCACACCACTAAAATGTGAGCCGTGGCATAGAACTCTCCAGACGAACTAGGTGTTGGCGAAAGCGCAACAACCCTCATGGGGTGCACATGGACTCGTTTGAAATCTGGAGAGCTTTTCAGCTTTGACGTCCGTAAACAGCCCAGGACGTCAAATCACAGCATACACTTGTTTATCTTGCATGGGTAGCACCAATGTGGCAAATTAATTTCCGAGCAACAGCTAGGGACTCCATTGGTGAAATCCACCCTCTGCATCCGCACGGCATTGAATTTTGCACGTAATGCACGGTAGCACTCCATAGCTGCACGCGCTGGGTGACCAAGCAAGTCAAACATGAGCAAGGAATCGACCAATGATCGACTGCCACAATTGGAAACAACCCACCGCGCTCATTTCACCTGTGCTGTCCACCTGATGCCACCATCCCTCTGGTATGAACAGGGCGTCGCCAGCCTGCAGACACATCAGGCCGGGTGATCCATTATCAGTGCTGAAGCGGCAGGGATAGGGCTTGGGACTGGTGCGATTGTCAAAGTATATCACCTTCAATTCGGCTTTCAGTTCATTGTCCAGCACGTGCCTGCAAACAATGAACACCTGGTAGATTATTCTCGCTAAAGATGTCAGTTCATGCCCAGGGCATCCCAAACTGTTTTCGAGAATCGTTCATATATTGCTGAAAATCAAGGGGAATTCTTCAGCTGCGCCAGTCAAAGAACAACATGATCACATGATCCCATCCACCTGCATGCCATGCAGGAGCACTACCGATCCCAATGCTTTGCCTTCCAATCGTTTGCTGCAAATTGCCTGTGAAAGCGGAGCTCCCTCATGCCACCAACTCCCGTGCTAAATGGCGCATAACAACGTGTCTGTGCCACTGCATGTGATTGAGAGTTGGCATTAGCAATTAGCAAACAATTGGAACACTCACAGATGTCATTGACACTACCTCCGTGAACCAGTTCTGGATGTGCCGCCAATCTATCACAATGCCAATATTGCGCAAGACACAGCTCAACTCGCTGGTGTTGTGGTTGGGCTAGGATCAGCGCCAGACTGCTCTGCATTGCCCTATCTAGCAAATCCATACTGCCCAAGCTGACTGGCAAGAACGCACAAACACAGTGGAGCCAATGCTGCGTATGGCAATATGCCCATCAACTTGAATGCTCAAGGATGATGCGCAGCCACTTTTCGATACCCAACAGGGGGTGGACAGTCTGGCCATGCCTGTATTCTGGGTGGTCTTTCAAGCTCGGTGCCGCAAAGTCCACTGAGCTGTGGTTGGCTGATTCCCCCCACACCGCCCTTGGGTAGAATGCCTGGGTCAGCATGGGGCTGCACAGCTTCACCACCTTCGTGCCACAAACGACGCACAGCAGGTTGTGGTATGGGTCATAATGGGGGCTGGCCCTTGTGCAGCTGCACAGCAACACAAGACGGTGCTCAGGCCATTGCACTTGCATCATTCAGAAGAAGCTTTGATTGCTTTTGTCAAAATGCGACAAGCAATGCAGTTGCAACTATTTGGCGGTGTGAGGTGCTGTTGACATGCAGGAGTGCTGTGTCCATTGCAAATTTAGTTTGCGTGCAGCCGTCACGTACAAAACAATGGATGCCAAACAGTGCAAGATGGAGAGGCGCACCATTGTAACATAAAGAACAAACTGAGACAGCCCAACGGCCTGCAGCGGCGAGCAGGATATGGGCGAAACACTGCGTCACTGGGGCATCACTCTTGGCACTTCAGCCACCTCTGCATCTCTGCACTGGAACATCTGTTCTGAAGTTACTGTGATCATTTGTGGTATGATTTCGCACATCGCTGCTGCATTCTCAGAGCTTGCCACTTCAAGAGCTTGGCACTACGGAAGGAAACGAAAGTCACAGGCTTAGGCACTTGGACTCGGACTCTGGCAGTAATTGTGATCGCAGTTTAGACACACTGTGTGTGGACTTCTGGGGGACGTCGACTTGAAGGTGAAATGGCTGCGTTACTATTCAACGAATGCAATCAACAGCTATACACTTGGGCTGCCTGCGAATATGACACAGTAGCGCCCTCGTGTGCACTGACAATTGCTGCAATCATCACTTTGTCACGCCGTCACAATGATGCTGGCAGTGGAGTGGGCAAGATGAAGAAATGATCTCAACAGCTGCAATTAAACTCCTTGATTTAAGGCTGCCTTCACAAGACAGAGTGGTACCTGGCGCTCATCCAGATGTTTGTTGAGACGATTTCGACTTGACCAAGCAAGCTGGGGACTTTGATATCAGCACGAAGAGTGTCCAGACCATCTAGCACACACACCAAGCACTTGCCATGACAAAGTGTGAACACAATGGGCCACTGCTGTAGTACTTGTTGGAGCAAATTGATGCGAAATTGAATTGAATACTCCCTGATATTTCTATCTGGCAAACATCGACAGAAATTTCTGCATTCACCTGCACAGGGTATGTAGTGCAAGAAAGATACATGTGGCAAGTTCGCATTGAAAACCCCGCTGGCCATCCGACATTGCATAACAAAACTGCTGCAGCCATTTCTGATGTCAGAACACGTGTGCGACCTTTTGTAGGCCAGTCATGCGAAAGAGGATGTCAGAGTCCCTGTTTTAATTGCCACAGCCACTATCTCAGCCATATTTGTAGCTTCATCTGGAGCCTTGCTGGGTACAGCAACCACAGAATGTCCATTCCAAAATAGTACATCATATAGGAGCCTGATCTCACATATTGCGATGAATATTCTGGATTAAAGAAAGCACACAAAAGCCTATGTCTGTCTTCATTCATTCAAACTGCTTCTGTGCTGCTTGTCAATATCAGGCAGCAGCAAAAGTGGTGCATGTGATATTAAATGTGCTCAAGCACCCAGGTACTTCAACATGTGTTCTGTGGAAGACTACCAGTCTCAACAACATACGCTATGGGCTGAACACTGAGCCCTGTTTACTTGGAAACGTCGTGCCACATACCATCGTCCAAAGGAGCCTGTGCGAGGTAGGTGTACATTCCATGTTCCTGCCATCTCTGCTGAAATTCTTTGTCTAAGAATTCGGATACCCTGCGAAGATGAACCATGCACGATGACAGAGTCAAACACAAATTTAGAAGGCGCAGTCGCTGCTGCCTTCTTCCATCTTTTCCTCTGAATGCCCTGGGTTTCTGCTGCCTGGAGTATGCGTATATGTGCTCTTCTAATGTTGGGGATGGAGTGTTCTCTTTGCAAAAGCATAGTAACGTGCTTGTAGTTAGTTAGAAAACTGATCCTGCTCGATGATCGTAACTCAGTATAGGAACATGCCATGACCACTGCGTCACTTGCTGTTATGTGTGTGCAGTCATTCACTCCTGGTTTCAAGTGGACAATGCTGGTGTCGTGTGAGTTTGAGCTTCCAGAATGCAGGCACACTGAAATTTTACCAAGCATGGAACGGTGATATGGTGCATTGCTGTTGAGCCACTATGTAAGCTGATAAACAAACACAGAATTCAAACATATTGGCATGACCACATTGTCCTGAGGTTTGTTAAACTCATGCCAAAGCATAGTTCTTATTGCTCTGCGTACCCGTTGGAATCAAGGATCGGAACCTATTAGGGATGCATGAATCAGATCAACAGCTGCCCCACTGTCAAAATCAGGCATGCATTGTCCTGCAGCACTTTGTGATTGAATGGGCAATATTTCAACGACAATTTGCCAAAGCAACCAAGGAGGAGCAGTGCCATCAACAAATAGACAATCGGCCAATGTTGCAAGCGACATAGCGCATTCATGTGGCTCTGGTGCATGCATGGCCTGCAGTCAGTGCAGAATGCACCTTCAGGCATATATGCCTTTCAACCAACCTGCAACGAATTGGCTGATGGTGCCCCATATCACCCATGAACACATCTGATGTGGAACACATCACCTGGAAACAAAAGTGGAAAGAACATGCACCAGATGAATGCTCTGTCTGCCCTATGATTGAGTTGCCAGCTGTGCGATTGTACAATCCTTGTGTTCCCAATCAGTAAAAGCTGCATCTGTGGTGACAATTCACACCCACAATAAGTTGATACAGGCAGCCAAGATACTGAACTTGTCACTGGTTTAACATTGGCGAAGGGCAGAACCGAAAGTGGGCAGAAATTGCAGACAAGGGCTATCAACTTCGACATTGCCCAATTTGGGAAAAGGGATGCATCGCTCCACTCCTGAAACTGTTCAATGAATTCCTTGCATTCCATTTCTCAGCATGGCAATGCCAAACACAGGCCTCCCACCTTGCAGCCCATAAAAATAAGTCCAGGGGGGGTGCAAAGACAATGCCTTGCCTTGATGTTGGCATGTCCTGCCCTTCTGGAGATGTGTGTGGAGCCTTGTGGCCCGTTCCATCGCCGAAAAGCCGGCCAATCCCTGGCAGCCCCGCGGACAATGACGGGCACAGCTCTTGACTCCCAGTCAGCCAACACATCCGAAGAGCAGTGACAGGCCTCGACGCACTCAACCATCTCTTCCCCAACCAAATGCGCTGGTTGCCGTGGCTGGCCTGTGGGCATCCCCTTCAGCTTGTGTTTTTTTCTTCTTAATTGGGATTGGCAGGTGGCAAGGCGAAATTGGCGATGTGGCCGATTATCGCCGGTTTGGCTGGGATTCATGAGCACCTCCATCCGCCGTTGTTTGGACGGCGTCCTGCGAGGGCGCGGCTGCTTGGAGGGGTGCTGCGGCGCCGTTTTGGTTGAGGACGGTGGCGGGGATACCGGGGGACAGTCGGTTTGGGCACAGGCAAGTGGGCGGGATGGGCACAGGGAATTGGAAATGGCTGTCTTGCAACGAAGACAAAAATGTCGTACAATGGGCAACCCCTCCTGGAAATGAATTCTGTCAGGGTCTTGGCCTGGCTGTGAAGGTGATGCAGAATTCTCTGAGTGCCACAGGAATATGATCTTGGGACAGTGACCAACAAATGATTGGATGTTTCTGTGGCCGTCATGGTAAAAGGGATTGGTCGTGTCTTTCGACAAATGCAGTCAATGGAGTCAGCACGACAGGAACAGCACCCAACTTGGAGCAGCATGAACAAGCACAAAGGCATGCACACCTGTGGAGAACAGAGCGTAGCACCTTAGCAATGGCAGCAACTAATGCTAGCCTTGGCCTCCAAGTCACCAGTGCAGCAAAGGGGTATTTTCTGGCCTGGAAGTCTGCAGGGCAAAGCTTGGAGGACCAGCCAGGCCTGTTTCAACTTTTGATATGAATGTCCAGTGTGTCATGGACGCGATGCAGTTTTGTCAGCTGGCCATTGCAGTAGAGCAAGGCCGGTGCCATATGTGCACGGGCAAGGGGCATCCAATTGCCCCACAAATGAGCAGAAGATGACCTTGCCTGAAAAAACATTTACACCTTTCTGTTTCTTGATGCACTGCACTGCCTGTGCCAATCAGGTTGCATCAGATTTGTGGTCGATCGTTTCGGGACCTCGTGGGAAGGGAAAGTCTGTCAGGCTTGTGGCACTGGATTGGAAAGTGTCAACATACAAGCAACTACTGGGTGTCCATGAAACAGCAGGGATTTCGTTTGTGGACTGCCACTCTGACCCTCAAGGCTGGAGGGCTCAGCGTGGTGGAAGCCACAAACAAGCAGATGACGTTGTGAATGGTGAGACACAGCTGGCAAATGTTTGGCCTGTTCCATCTCCATCTTCCATTAGCAGTTTTGTGTTTTCTTGACCTTATCCTCGCATTCTTGCCAGCATGCAATTCCTTTGCCCCCTCTCTCCAGTTGGATGAAGCCTGGGCACCGACGATGGATGAAGGGCTGAAAGCTGGCACCAATGGTTGACCCTTGAATACTTCCCAATCTGATGGTGTTAGTGAATGGCTGATGTGTTTCTGTCTGGGAAGATGCCACATCAGCACAAACTGCATTATTTTCTGCACAATGCACCACCATGCACAGAGCAGAGAGTCAGAACCACACAACCATGGTTTGAGATGGAGCCGCCGATCCATTCATTCTGTGCGATTTTTTGTTCAGCCAAATTTCAGGCTGTGGTAAAGCTGAATACTAATGCTCAGGCTGACAATGGTTGCCTGCCAAACTGTCAAAATAAGTTGCAAAGTTATGGTCAATGCGTATTTGATGTTGATGTGCTGCACGGCATGAGAGTGTTCTTAAATGCAACTCATCAGGTGGTCCATGGGCACAGCCAAGCGCTTTGTTACTTTGCTGGTGTTTGGACAACTGTATGTCCAACAGTTTATGAATATACCCAAATCATATATCATCGCAGGCCATGCACACATCCCAAATTCATGGAGAAGTCCATTGTTTCAATGTTGTGCCAATTTACTTTACTGCCGATTGCACGTGCTGTATTGTCCCTGAGACGATTGGCATTGCACATTTTTGTCACCATTGTGCTCTAAGTTTTGGCCCACAGTGACAGGACGTGGATGTGAGGCAGCGGTTCACTATTCCTAAAGTTGATGTGCGCTTGGGTATGGATGTCAGATGGATGCAAAGAGCTTCTTTCTGCTTTAATTCAAACAGATCCTTTGGTTGGTCAATCTACACAATTTCTCTCGTTTTCCAAGGCATGCCAGTGCCCCTTGCCGCAGCATTGTTTCAGTGATGTTCAACCTGGACTCTGTTGGACACTCCATCTGTATGGTTAGACGTAGCAGTGTTGTGAACAGTGGCCAATGGGCTTGCGGCCATTGAAGTCGCAGCCATATCTGTGCCTGAGCAAATCTTGGCGAACGACTCCGATGAGAAAACGATTGTGGTGGTGGACTCCCTGACAACTCTGCTGCTCCAATACTCGCTGCATCAGGTGCTGGGGCTCAGCGCGCTGGAGGTCATTCTGAAATCATGCCACGTTGTTTGTTTTCACTTCACCATATGCAGCTCACTGCATGTCTCGTGTTTACAGTTCATGGCGTGGCACTGCAAGAGTTGGACTGCGGCACCATGTGTGTGCTTCAAATGTAGACAAACTTCCCCTTTGCTCCTTGCAGGCTTGATGTTGAGTATTTCTTCCCTGTTGATCTCATGTAGGTCATCCAATTTCTTGACGGCCTCAGATGCTCAGATGCGATTGGTGGAATGGTTCTCCGAGTGTACACGGTGAGGAGATCGGTGCATAGGGACTCAGTGCTGGGGCTGAAGAAGCCTTCTGCTGAATATGTGTGGTTGTGTGCAGTTCTTGTGGTCGTTTTCTGGATTGACACATGCATATGTGCACTTGTATTCCAAGTCGACAGTCACTTTCGTATTCACATCAAGTTGTGAAGAGTCGCCGGCAGAAAGGCAGGGCAACAGGGGCCAAACGCTGTGGAAGCATGCCAGGTCTTGAGATGTGGTCCAACTTGCTGAGCAGTTTTGGGCGTGGCAGGAGTGAGCTCGTTGTGCTGCTGTACTGTTGACAGAAGCTGCCAGGAATTATCACGCTGATTGCCTCTCACATCTGCTGATTGAAGAATCGCACCTGAAAACACAGGCTTTGCTTGATTTTTGTCATATCCATGCCATTGATCAGCCTGTCTACAAAAGAAGAGTGATTTTCAATGGGAGTGGTGTGAAATGCTCTGGCCCTCGCCTTGGAAGTCTTGCTTGGTGTAACCGGGGGCACTGCAACCAGCCCAGCAATGTCATGCGTGCTTGTGAGTTGTTCTTGAACTGATAAGGCGCCTTGTTGTATGACAGGATGTGCATCAGGAGCCTGTGATAAGCGCTCTAGAAGTCATCTGCACATCGATCCTCAGAGTGGGCAAACCCAGTGGGCTCCAACGTACCATCGCATCTTCTCTCGGGACGTCACAACTGCATGGGGAGATAACGATTAGGCAGAAGATACATACAGGCAAGCACTGTGGGCTGCTCACAGAGATTGCCTTCAAGCCGTACCATTCGAGCGTTTGGGCAATTGAAGCCCAGATGCTAACTACAGTCCTGTGTGTCGTTCGTGTGGTAGTTTAGCGTGTTTGACTATTTGGCAATATGAGAGGGGCCACCTCTTTTCTGCCGTGGAATTGATCCTGCTTTGGCGAGTGTGCTGTTGTCTGAAGAGGCTACTTTGAAATCGTACACTGTCTTGCGTCCACCGCTGAGTCGCCTTTGTTGTTATCCTTTTGTGTCAGTGTCTTGGCAACATGCGGTGCCCATGTGCCCTTGGCGCCACTCACGCCAGGAGCTGAATCGTTGGGGCAGCCCCTCAGAGTCGCGGATAGGTTCTGCCGTAGGTCCATCCTTTCCTCCTCAAGCCCGGAATGCACCCTGTAGCAAAAGACGCAGCCGCAGATTCTTAGCACTCACATTTGGATGCGAAAGGCTATAGGGACAAAATTTCCCCGAATTATCATTTTGTCGTCGCGTAGCAACTCGTTCAGCCGAAAGCAAGCAACGGAGGTCGTTAACTGACACCTGATGTTCACGAAACCTAGCAGTGGGCCCGATTCAGGCAAAACCCGGTAGGGAAACGCAAGTTGCTATAATTTGGGGACACCAAATCCAGCCGCGGGCTTTCATTCCAAAAAGTACGAAGTCTTCTTCCCAGCGGATTTCCGGTGCCTTTACGACAGGCTGCGGTGTCCACAATCCTGACTTGAGGGTTTCTGTCCTTACGCACTCTGCTGTGCTGATCACCCTGAAATCCACGCTGGGGAAGTTGTTCCAGGGCGAGAAGACAGCCAGCAGGTTGGGAGCTGCCCACCCGAGCAAGGGGGTGGATTTTCTTGAGCGGCGTTTCTAGTGCGCTTGTGCCCGATGCCTCGAAGTGCTCAGCACCTTGAAATACTGGGAACCGCTGGATAGGGAATGCCGCACTCGGTGCAGGTGGCTTGGGTTCAAACGTTTTATGCACCGCCAAGCGTGTCTGCTGCATTGTTCCTGAATGTCATCTGAGTGGCCACTATTGCCGTTCGGGCCAGCAGATTCCCCTTTTGGGAAACCCACAGCGTTCTCTTACCCTTACCACAGCCTTGGCTCAAATACTGCCCTGCCAGTTTGCAATCACCGTCCCCTCAATTCTTGTAAGCATCCCCGTAGCCGAGCCAGCAGTTTTGGATGCATGCATATCTCACCTGAAAATCGCTGGCGCCAATGGCATGGCTGTGGAGCACATGCCGTTCGGATGACTGTTGCATTGACTCTGTGCGTTCTGTGTTGTTGATGGTGTCCTGCAGGTCGGGTCGTGGTCGAGAAGGAATGGTTTTCTCTTGCGCCTTCCGGGGGAGTGGCTACGTTTCAGCCGCCCACGGAGATGAGGGTCGATGCCAAACAGGCTGCTTTGGCCGCAATGAAAGGCAAGGCTGAGCGCTGAGGGCACCATGAGCGCGCCCGTGGTGCCTACTATGCTCTGCGATTTTCCTTGCACTCTGTCACGGTGTGGAGATCATTGTTAACACGTTGCAAATTGCATTGTGTACTCATGCCAGAAATTACAAGCGCGCTTGCTAATACGCCCAGCGCGTTTGATGCCTTTGTGACGCGGTCATCGCCCTGCGGATTGTCCTGCCTCGAAACCAGAGTTGAGTGTACTTAATAGTGCTTGAGTTTCCTCAAGCTATGGCCACAGACAGGCCTCTTAGCATCCGCGATCTGAATTGCCAGCAGCTGCAGTGTGGTTGCAGTGCAAGGCATTAAAGCCCAGAAGCTCTGCCCATTTCCCTTCTGGCGCACAATGGACGATAATTTGCAACAGCCCTTTTGACGGGCCGCAACACGTGGCTTGGTGTGCCGCAGGTCTTGAACCCAGTCAATCGGACAACACTTCGTTGGAGTCCAACCTGATGAAGGATATGGATGGAGGGATGAAGCTGACGCTAACATCACAGGTGCGTGTCAATTGCACACAGAGAACGCCCTCCCAACAGCATCTGTTGCCGCTTCAATATTTGGCCGATGCACGCAGCGCACAAGCAACATGGCGGTTTCTAAGACGCCTGCAGAATGTTGTACCGGGCCACCACCACCCAACGCACCGACATGGGTCTGCCTTTACAGCATAAATGCTATGTGAAGTGCATGCACCAAATTGCCAGTGAATGCTGCTGCAGGAACGAAGGGCAAAAGAGGCCGTCGTGCTGCCTTATGAAAAGTCCCAAGGAGCACAGTGCAGCGAGTTAAACGTTGCCCAGGAGTCGTTGGGGGAGATACACTACGTTCGAGATTCGGAAAGCGAATACGACTCAGACGAGGACCCAGATGAAGATCTGGACATCTAGCTGCGATATTTGACATTATTGTGGATGAAGTCCAGCAGCTGCCTCGCAGTTTCGCAGCAGGGGATGAACACAGCAGAAACGTGTTTCATATGGACATCTTGGCTTGTGATTGTTTATGTGAAAATTAATTGATCTCTGCATGTTCGTTGCCATCCCCACAGCTGTGCTGGAATCCACAGACTCACACACAAAGTGCAAGACATCTTTAGAAGTTGGCATGCTGTTACACATCATCGAGCACACTGGCAAAGGAGCTCCCTCTTGCAAGAAGATCACGACCCAATGGTCATCGCTGCCAGAACGCTTGCCGAACTGGTGAAGAATGCCAGGACTTGGGTGGTGGAGCCTGGTGAGAGGGCCTGCTGCAGCCATCAGATCAACTTGTAACGATCAACAGCCATTTCAAGTAGGAGCCAGATGGTAATCTATGGCAATATGGGAGTGTTGCAGAAGTCCGATGGATTTTGTCCTCCCATCTTTCTGCAGACATCTGTGTGATGTTTTGCTGCCAGTCCTGGTATCACTGGCTTCTGAAATGAGCCCCTGCAACTTCGCCACATCGAACCAAACACTGCGTGCACTATCAACAAAGGAAGATGAACTTGCCTTGCAGGCACATGCTCAAGGAGCGATAATTGGGTTCATTGCCATGGACCTGCGTGCGGGTCGAAGTGGACAAATTCAAAATATGCAGGTCAAATGTGTTTCTGGTACATGGATTTTCGCAAAGCCCATGTACTGAGGCTGACTCTTAAGCACAAGGGAACACACATCTGTATTTCCCCCGCGTCACTTGGTGCACAACAGGATCATCATCTGCTGGAGAATGGCAGCAGCGGGGAAGTTACACAGGATGGCATGACCATCTAAGATATTGTCTTGTAGTGATACTTCTGTCAGAAACAAAATGTTCCTGTTATTCAAGCACACCTCGGATTGTGGCTTGTTGCAGTTCCTACACATACAATTCAGAACTGACAGTACGTGTAGTAGCAAGTGCTGGATACAGTACTGGATATTCTGCAGAGCCAAGATTGCCATGGCAATGTTCCAATCCAGCAGTGTTACTCGGGCCTATGGGGCCAACACCAACTCGAATAACAAGGGATGAGGGAGTGAGGACGCTGCCAATAAACTGCAACTGCAAATCCTGGGCTTATTGGTTTCCAACAGTGGACATGGGAGCACACCAACAATCGATATCTTGGACACAATTTGAAGAAATCGAACCATGAGATGCTGTTCTTCCTGATTTGTACCTCATCGACAAGATAACAGGAACGAAACGTCTCTGACACAGGCCAGACCGCACCTGCAGAACCTGCTTACTCCTAGTGTCTCTTAAGGCTGTGGGTGCCTCTCATGTGGTGACATCCAATTCTTCAATCACTCCCAGTGATAACAAGTCTTTCCGTGCCTCAGCAATATCCTGAGGAAAGGAAGTAAATTGGTGTCAACATGGTTGGCGAGACTGAGCATTCATGCAGCAGAGAACAGTGGCAACGTTCCAATCACCAATACGTTTGTCTAGTCGATCGACGCTCCAACTTGATGCAAGGATATATTGTACTCTGCAATCATTCCAAAGTTTGCAGCACCTGGTATGCCTTGGCATGGCATCAACAGAAGAACACGAGCTTCTTTGATCTGATGCAGAAACTTGACGAGAAAGATCATTACTTGTTGCCACAGTGTGCAATCACTTGCACCTTTGGCGTTCCCATTGCCTTTGTCTATGCAAAGACTAAAATGGCCTGCTGGCCTACCACGCAGACCCCAAAAAAGATAATGCATCAAGATACGTAAAGAGATAATGCAAAGAATTGGCCCCCCCCCCCCAAGCACAGGTTTTTGTGTATCGAGGCGCACGATAAGTTTGCTTTCAATAGAGATACCACATCGACTTTGGGACTTGTGGAATTCCCTCCATCAAGAGCATTATTAGCTTTCGATCCAGACTCTAGATGCATTGGTGCAAAGGATATGGCAGAAGAACAAATCTACTGCTGGCCCAGCACACATACCTGCATCAGAGACGCCGCTTCATTCGGGCAAGACTTGAAGTTAACTACACCGATGATCAAGGCCACCAGCATGTACAGTCCGAACGCGAACAACACGATTACGGGAGCCTGGAGACAAAACCAACAAGCACAGCACTCAGCCAGGCCACAGTGGCGAAAGCAGGTAATGGGCAAGTGCGTTAGGTGGACTCTCAGGGTGTACCTACTCACAAGCAAGCCCCGATTGCATTTGTCCTCATCACGAGGAGCGCATTCCAAGAAGAATTCAGGCGCCACACTCCACAAGCAACCTCCGAAGTTCAATGCGGGACAAAACGCAACAAGTTCTGAAACCGTTACCAGGAGGAGCAGAATTCCAGAGGTGCCCGAGCTGCCGACTTTGGCGATCAAGGCGAGCCAAAGCGCGAGCACCAGCACGGCCACGGACGCGAGCCTGTGTATTCGTCTCATGGAGGGGAGCCTCAGGCACAGAAACGGGCGGCTGGGCAGGGGGGGACAGAGGGAAGCCAATGAGGGCAAGTTCTGCAGTTCATGCTACCTCGTTTGCACCTGGAATAGAAGCTGATGTCATCAGGCATTTTCCAATTTCAGCCGCTGTTCTTGGGCAAGATGTTACAGCCATGTATTGAGTACATTCAGGCCCGCGAGAAACGAGGCTGTACCGGGCACCACTGTCCCTCGGGGAATTCCCGTCGAGGTTGCATTGCAATGATCGAATCCTGCTGAATTTGTGGCAAGGTGGGAAGAAGGGCCGCCCAGGGAACTTGGAACAGCACATTTCATCCGGAGGGATCGTGCCAAAACTTCCATGGCGCCTTCAAGTTTATGACAGCAGGTTGAGCCGTCACTCTCCATCGTCGTTGTTCGACAAGGAAAGTGCATGTGATTCCGATCGGGCTGGGTGCATGTCAACACAGCAAGAACAAGGCAACGGTTTACGATGTGTTTGCACAACAGTTTTTTGATTCAAGTTTCCCTACAAGCTTAGAGCTCCCTGGACTTCGGAGCTAGAAACACGGAGCACATATTAATTGGATGCTTATGCGGCTGCAAAGTGCAAGGGCTTTCTTTGTCGTGTGTTTTGGACACATCTACGGAATTGCCTCATTAAACTGTCATATTCTGTTCACTGCCATGCTTGATGCTCCATAGCATTCCTTTCTGTGTTAGCCAACCTCTCACGAAGATGACGGCACTGCCATCAGCATATGACTGCAGGTCACCTGGCAGTAACCAACCAAGTGCACAACCTCAAGTTTTGGGAAACACATATACATTGAACCTTTGCTTGGCTCAAAGCGACAATGCCAACCCAAATTCCTGTTGTCACTAGGTTTAACCCACCACATGCTTCATGTGGTCATCGATACAGGTTGTGGGAAGGTATGAATGCTGCTTTTCAGCCGATCACCACATCACAGCTGGCTATATGTATTTGACCAGCAGAGGCCTTGCCCCATCTTGAGGGTGCCGGCAACAACAGCCAGCATCTTTGATTGCAGATCCAAAATAAGACGTCTTCAGAACTGCAAGAGCACTCCAATCTCAATGCTTGCTTTTCAGATATAGCCATCCTTGGCTGTGTTGCTTCTATCTGGCTTAGCCTGGCAAAAGCGAGTGCATTTCTATATTGACATGTCATTTGGTTGTCCTCATTGTGAATCTAGGATAATCCACACAGCTTCAGGGCTCTGGCAATGCACCTAAGTACGTGTTTGGTGATCTACATGGCACTCTGGACCTCTTGTACCGCACCCTTGGCTAATATTCATTTCCGCAAGATCATTCCCCCACTTCCATGCCTGCCATTCTCTTGGACCAAAAACGCAATGGGTTGGCCACGAGACAATAGCCATGTGCAAGTTCCTTCAATACAGGAGGCCCTTCCAAAATCTTGCAAAAATAAACCAGAGCATTTTAAGAGCATCTGGTTTGTTTCTGGGTTCTGCAGGCAACCGAGCATGCCACTTTCACATAATGGCAGAGCATCTGCTGGAGGATCTTCAGCAGAGATGCGTGAAAACGCCCCAGTTGCCACAAAGAAGACATGCCTGGGTCCGCCTACCATCCAGGGACCTTGCTGGATTCCATTTTATGCCCATCTGCAATTAGTGACACTAAACTCTTTGCGCAGGCTGTAAACACTGCTCCAGCAGCGATCTCAACACGCGCTGGATTGCAAAACGACTTTTCACTGTTGTACAACTTGGCAGACATCAGACTGCCTGAACCTTCATATGTTCAGCAATGCTCCCATGCACAAAAGCAGCAATGTAGTTCACAGATGTATCTTGCTGCAGCGACCACCTTCCCCTGAGGGGATCCAGGACCATTCCTGACAGCTGGGCGACCTGCAGCGGTGTATCCTCTGTCGCCATGATCAGCTCCTGGGGCGTGATGAACTTTGCCCAGTCATGTGTGCCCCTCGGGACCATGCCCAGCATATACTCAGCGCCCACAATGGCCAAACAGTATGAACGTAGCGTACGGTTCAGAGTGGACATGATGAGCATGCCCTGCTCTGGCAAGAGGCCAGACAGTGTTGAGATAAAGTCTTTTGGGTGTTTCACATGTTCGATGACCTCCGATGCGATCACCACATCGAATTTTGCGCCCTCTGTTTGCAGGTCGTCGACAGACACGGCACGAAACCTGAAGGTGTGCATCAGGGCCAAATGTCAGCACAGAAGGCATGGCAACAAGCAAGCAGTTCAAAACAATCAGCCAAGTCCATCTCCACAGCTCAAACTATTTGTACAGTTGAGAATTGGCAGCCACCGAATTAGTGGCAATTTCGACGATGAAGTTTTGAAGGTGGGCTTTTTCAAGATATCAGACGCGAAATCCTGTGTGGATGCAGCCATAAAAGAAACCACCACAACTACAGGCCAATCACAACCTCGTAAGGTCACAACCTCTTAACCATCCTGGTCTTCACCAGGATGCCTGATACTAATTTGATGCGGCCCTGATTACCCAAGAGAGCAGCATGCACTCTCACTTCAGTCTGGAGCTGATGGCAGCATCTCCTGCAGCATGTATCTTGGCAGCCTCCACGGCATCTGCCACGACGTCGATTCCTGTCACGGTGGCTCCCATTCTTGCCAATGGCTCAGAAAGCAGGCCTCCGCCGCACCCCACATCCAGAATTGAAATTCCTGACAGTGGCTGGGGGTGGTAGGGGTCCCTAGCGTAATGCCAGCACAACGCCTCCCTGATGAACTTGCAACGCGTGGGGTTCAGATCGTGCAAGGGTCCGAGGGGCCCGCTCGGATCCCACCACTGCCCCGCCATCTTCTGGAACTTTTCCACTTCTCTCTGGTTGACAAAGCCACCAGAAGGCCGACTTCCTGTCTGGGGATCTGCAGAGAAGCTCCTCAAAGAGGTGAAGGGAGCTGCTGGACTTGAACAGAGACACAAAAGCGCCATCAAATTATTATCTGTGCACGATGTTCAACGACACCTGTCGCAAAGTTCAAGCTTTGGTTGCAAGAGGTCGAACAATTCACAAGGTGGTAAATCACGGCCCTCCAATCATGTAGGTAATAAAAAGACACCTTCCCATGAGGATGTGGGAAGCATACGAGGCCAGTTCGGGGAACAGAGCACAGACCGTCGCTGCTGACCCATCCAGAATTGCCAGGATTGGGATGATCAAAAAACTGTCCTCCATCTGATCGCCAAGGATCGAGCAGTTTTCTACATTCACATGCCGGGTCTGCTGCGCGATTCGGTCGAGCAAGTCCTGTCAAGCGTACTGCTACTGCTGCGTGCGCCGCTCCAGTTGCCCACAGAGACTTTGTGTCTCGAGATTCACTCCATTGCGCAAAAGACGTCACACAATTCTTCTTCAAGAGGGGTTTCCCAGTCCATCACATGCTTTTCCTTCCTTCAAGAAGGCAATAGAGTGCCTGAGACTTTCCGCACCTGCAGGGACCACCGAGGATTGCCGACCCAACGGGTGTCCACACGCCGCGCGACTCCCATTGCAGCCCAACGGCGAGGCGTGACAGGGCACGAGCGCTCCAGCGCGACATGTTCACCGCCGCCACACGGCGTCACCGTTGTTGACCCCAGCGCCGATCGCCGCGACGACTCTCACTTCGACCGTGCGAGTCGTATTCACTGGTCGATTGGCCGCGCTTCTCCTTCACGAATACACAGTCAGTATATATTGGGCTCGGTGCCTGCTCAGCGTCCGGGCAACATTATTCATTATTCTCAGTTTTCTTGTTCATTATTCGCATTACCTGTATTATTCAGGTAGTTCGAATGATATACAGGCTGGGTGGTATCGCGCACGTGCACACACTTTCCTGGATGGTCGTGAGGGGCCGTGAGCTTCGCAACAGTGCTTTCGCAGAGCGTTGCGTTCGAATTGTGGACGGCCCCTCACCGATGGTGTAAGCACTGATAGGGGAACGGCCACACAGGTGTTGGATGTTGCCTGATGCAACTGATCACAAACCGTGTAAAAGGGTATCATTTGCAGTATTTTCGCCAAATACAGTCAACGAAATTTGCAAGCAGTGAACGAGAGAGGGTGGAAAAGTTTCGCCACACGTTTGTGGAGTGTCCAATCGAGCGCTGACAAGTCGCGCTCATCAAAATCCGGGTCCTTTGGTTTTCAGTCCACCGCTGTCATTGCTTTTGCCCATTGCTGCAGGCCGCCCTGGCTGCATGTACCCCTAAAATTTGTCTAGCACTGGACAGCTGTTTTGATGCGACATTCCTTCTTGAAGTCGCGCGTCCACACATGCGAGCGGCATGTGCAGCTGCAGGATTCCCAGAGTGCTTTCAAATTCTTGTTGTAGGCCGCACGATCCAACGCTCTCGTGCCACACGGACCAAGACAATGCGGCAACCAATTTGCTGTTGCTTTAATGGTATGGAAGCAGAATGGTTGGCAGGTCATATTGGAACCCTCATCTGGACTGTGGATCAGTTGTCGTTTGCTTCCTCTTTCGGCTCCACACCGTATGCCTTGAAGCAGCCCCGATTCCAATTCCCCACGCATCAGATGACAGATCGGCATTAGACAGGGTGGCGAATCGCAACTGGCGCCCCTGTCTTGATCAGCATAACCCACCCAATCAGCTACTACCGTGCAGTGGCCCTTTACCGGCTAACTCTAGGAATATCGACCTACCGAGAGATCAGTAAACAAGACGCAAATTTCGTGGCTCCAGAGTACCTTGGCGTAAAACCTGGCCTTAAATCCGCAAGTACAGACGGTATCTATGCATTTCGGCTTTTTTCCATTGCCCCCGATTTCGTTGATGCGCTTCTTCCCCGCGATGCATCAATGGCCACGCTGCACTGCAATGTAGTAAACTGCATCTTGATGGTCGAAAGGGCAACGGTCATGGCTGATCAGCCACGGTAACTGTGATCATAATGCGGCAATTGCCGCACCAATGCACTTGCGCGACAGCAACGAATGCGGAGTTCGAATTTCAGACAGCCGTTCCTTCGTTCGCTCGGACGCACAAAGGGTAGTGGGCACTTCCACCGCCATGTGCGTGCAATTTCCTGTCCTGAACAGAAACGCCACCAAGGCATCCTGCCACCTACAGGGAGCTAAGGACAATTTGCAGGGCGCGGCCACAGCGCGCAGCTCACTCAATCGCACCCAGTATGTCTCGAAACGACTCCGATCGCCCTCGTGACGGCACCGCCACGCCCGACCTTGTCCTTGCCATGGCAGTGGCCAAGTGGCGACGGGAGCAGCGCAGCGACGGGCGTGCCTGGAAGCGGAGGGCCCGGTCGCTGGAGGGCCAGCTGAGGCGAACTCGGCAGGCTGTAGAGCAGCTCAGCGCGTGCCGCTCTGGCCGCCATTTGGGGCCCATCGACGGCCTGATGGCCCTCATGGAAGATCTGCCTCCGCTGATCGACAAAACCGGGCCTGGGAATGGGGCGGAGGGTGGGCTGTGTCAAGGAGGAGAGGCTGGGGCTTCGTCGGGAGCGGGTGCTGTGTGCATGGATGACGGGGAGCTTTGGGGACTTGGCGGCGAGGCGGAGCGCATGGCGGGCTTCCTTCTGAACGTGCACTCGCTGCACAGCGCGCAGGCGAGGCGGGAGGAGCGCGCCCCGATCGGAGTGGTCTATGCATCAACTCGAGCGGAATGCGTGCCTGAAGCGAAAGTTTTGCACCAGGGTGAAGCACTTCTGAGATGATCTTCGGCGACGTGAACGGCGCATTTCAATGAAATAAAATTGAAGGACGTCATGCCCCGAATTCGACTGCACGCACTAGTAGAATACCGGCCAGAATACGCGGTTTTGAAAATTTAGCAGCGTGTAAATCATGTAAATTGATTGGAAATCGTGTACTTATCGTATGACAATGGGACCAAACCGTCCAGTAACGATTGAGTGAGTGTACATGACGTCTACATGCTTTGACACTGTTTTCCACGATTTTTGCACGGCTCCAAACCGTGTATTTTGGCCGGCTTCTACCTGTGACGTGTCGCGCGACACCCGCATGTGCGCGCCCCCTTCCTGCACCATCAGGCTAGATGCCCAACTTTTTCTGCAACTGTGCTGAACCAGCTCTGTGCCAAGCTGTGTTACAGCAAACCCCCGCTATACTGTTCAATATTGTAATGCGCTTGCTGGGCTGGTCGCGACAGTCTGGTGATCACTGCAAAGTGGTATTTTTCAGTTATGGTTGTGAGGGCGGGGAGAGGGAGCGCGGCTTACGTCGTAATGGTATCTCTTGATGGGGGTTGGTTGGATGCCGAAAATGTCTGGGAGTCTGTCAACGGGACACACCTGCCATGACTCTTTGATGATTGACAGAGACGTTGTTGGACTTCGTGCAGGTGCTGGCATCTGGCGAAGCTCAGCATCTCTTCGGCCAATCCCCTTTGATGATTGTGATTCGATTCGTGGAGGGCGCGCTCCTGAAGATGCCGCACGGTGCCCTTCGAACGGCCTATGCCACCAGGGCTGCGGATCTCTTGAGTTTGAAATTGCAGGAGGCAAAGGACAGCTCTGGTGGAGCCCCCGCCCTTGAAGGGCAAAGTGAGGAATCAATTCAAAAATTCGTTGGAGATGTGGACAGCCTTGTGCACTCACTTTTGCAGCAGTTGATGCACGTCGAGGAGGTAAGTGAAGCTTGGAAATCACATTAAGCATGCTAGCTAACCACAGGAAGCAAGCTGAAGATGGAAGGGTTGCGGAACGTTGCAACGAGATTCAACCTTCGCTGCATACAACGACTTCAGAAACACTGTTTTGGGATGGTTCTGGAATTGTGACCTTGGTGCCCCCTTCCGCATTTGTATCACTGGCGTTATCATCGCAGCACTAGCAGTGCTGCATCTTCTCCCGGCAGTGACCACACTAGGCACCACGATAACGACGCAAGAACTTGTGCAGCTACCAAGCTTACTTGCTAGCTAGCGAATTTGCAAATTCGCACATGCTGTGGCGCCGTGGTGCAGCGTGTGCCTGTCCACATGCGCGGCCGCCATATTGTACCCCTTACACTGGATTGTGATGTACCTTTCATGTGCTGACAAGGGCATGCAAAGCGCAGGATGAAGGTGGACGGGAGAGTCAGCGAACTCGGCAGGCAGCAGAGGAAGTGCTGCGGTGCATGCTTGCCGGGCCACAAGTAGGGCAGCTTGTGCTGCTGCACTGCACGCTGAAGGTGTCGTCAGTATTGGCGGATCTCAAGAAAGCGCACCGAGGCTTACCTTTTTCCGGACCCCGTTGCTTGGCGGCTGTCTCCAGAGTGGGATCGATCCTCGAAAATTCATGCGCTCTCTTCGAGCTGCAGGTGCTGTAACTACTCGAAGTTGCCCAGCACAAAAGTGGCCAAGAATCTGTCCCCACGCTTCAAGGGGATGCGTAAACCGAGCAAGCATCAGCCCATACATTGTCGAGAATGCGAGCACCATCAGCGCCAATGCGTGAAACCATATCCGTTGGCAGAGAGAGATCAAAACTTGAATATGCTTCGCTAACTCGTTTTCATGGACATCATTGACAAATCGCTATATTGGAAGGCAGTTTTTTTGAACTAGGCAGTCGCGCAGCCAACTGCTAGAACATTTGCAGATGCAATGGGCCCGCCCCCAAATTCAGGATCCATCACGAGCATATTAAATATCCCCTGCCAAAATTCCCTCTTTTGGAAAATTAATATACACAACTAAGAGCACCTAAGTGTTATATAGCCAGCATGTGCAAATCTGATGGAATCCAATTCAGAAGCAGGCCATCGTTATCAAAACTTTTTGATTCTGGGCGTCCATATATTGGCAATACAGGGTGCAATTCCTCCGATGTGTTGTGCTGATGTAAGACAGTGCACAGGGCTGATTGGTGCATCCTGAACTCTGAGAACCAGTCAACGCGCTTCTTGAGCTTCTGTTCTTACCGGCCTGTACAGCTCCTCACTGGTGCGACAAAGTTAGCCCACGCGTCTTCGGGAAAACTCCAAGCTTCCAATGCATGGAATGGGGCAAAGCCATCACAAGCATGGGACAACGTTGTTTGATCCTTGTTCAAAGCACTGCTCATAATGTGGTGCCTATTTGCACTTGAACATGATCTCCGATACTGCCTGATATTTATTGATATTGATCTGCAACATTGATGCACTACTTGTTCTATGACAGCAACATGGGGACCAACTGAAGTGGAACTGAGGCTGCGCTGCAATTTCTTTACACCGCGTGGCAGGGGTCGGCTTTGGCACAGCTTATGAACTGGTCTCTTAACCCAGTGGCGTCTTTGGAAATCAACAACGACCTTTTGGAGATCGTCGTCAGAGAGTGTGCATTGGCGCACAAGCGTTCCTGCCGCCTCATAGATTCTTTGCCTTTGGTGACCAACGCCATTGCTAAAATCACCGCCAAGTTGGCGGTTTTCCTGCATAGCATGTCGGAGGGTGCGAAGTTGCAAGATCCGGGAGACACAGAGCATGGCATTCATCAAGCACTGCACCGAACAATAACTAAGGAGTTCATGCCAGGGGGCGCAGCTCAGGCATAGCGTCGTTGTGGCGGACCATTCGAATATCTCATTAATGACGCCACGGACGTGAATTTGGGCTGTTGGCGCTTCTCTGCCATTTTCCAACATTGCTTCAAAGATGACGAACGCTGAAGCTTCCGCCGTTTGCGTCATTGCTGAGTAAACTTGAAGAAGCCATCCGTGCCGTGCAGACTGTCGTGGACAGTGTTTCGGACTTGACTTTAGGGCTTCCCTAATGCTGCCGCTCCGCAGAACCTGCTCTGAAGGCAGGTGGCACCGTTATCTTCTTCCAGGTGTACGCAAGCGTCAAATTACATGACGGACTAGCCAATCGCTTTGCCGCCATTTCGTCACAGGTCGAACAACAAGCAGCACTTTGCCATTGGGCTGGACGATTCCCAACGTGCGAATACCCAGAGTTGATTGACCGAATCAACGAAACGGGTGCATAGTGCCCATGCAATAATCCATTCTGGCTTCGGACAGGGAAATCGGGCCAATCTGTTCTTTTTCGTCCCTTTAAATGTTGCACTCAGTTTGTTCAACAAAGTTGGGTCACAAGACCCGCTATATGGCAGGATATACCCCTCTTTGCACACAATGGCATGCATTGCTACGATATTTGAGTCTTTGCACATTCTTAAGTATGCTGCTGGCGGTTGGGTTTGTGGTCAGCCAAAATTCGTCAAATACATTTGCCATGAAATGGCAAAGCACAGCCCTTGCACCTGATAGGCGATGATGGGCGTGAGAGCCAAACGAAGTGTTTGTTCGGATTCAATTGTTCATGGTGCCACGACCACATAATTCCAGAACGCCGAGTTGTAGGCAATTCCTTTGTCCCATGAAATGCAATAAACTACCGTGAATAACAAAATCCCGACGGAGTGTGTTCAGCAAAGGCAATGAAGAAAAAACAGTCCCAACCCTCAATCCCCATGTCCAGCACGAGTTCACGCACACCGCACATGCATCAGAAAATGCGCTAGGACCCCAAATCCCTGTGGCACCAGCTCAAAAATGTCCCACTGAATTGGGTTTGCAGTGTAAACCGAAAAATGCATCCACGGGGTAAAACACACGCTGCTGTCAAACTCATGTGAGAAACAAGTTCCTTGCCATTGCCTCTGCACAAACCAGAAACAGACAGAACCTAGCAAGCAAATAAACAATTTGCACACCGGTGCCAACTGTGTATTTATTAATTGGCTTGCAGTCTGCTCGTTTGCTTTGGGCAATATTGCAGTTGAAGAACTGGGATTCGTCACCACCTCTCATGCTCACGAATTCACGCTTGGTGGTCAACAGTCAGCAACACACTCAGCAACCTACCTGCATGCACAGGAGTGCTGACAACAATGGTACAGCCCTTGTCCCCATGAAGGTGCGTTTTGCCCACATTGACTGCTGTGGTCTAATAATGTTGTGAGATGGTTGTTTTCTTCTGACCAGATATGAAACTGCACCAGTTTTGGTACCAAAAAGAAACAATCGACTGCAAAGGTAGCCCCCAGGTGTGCACAAGATGCGAAGCAATAATGCCCGGAGGTTGCAAGGAGGCACCAGCACAATATTGTTGACATTCTTTTGTACTGCTGGGGTGGTAGCCGTGGTTACATTGACGCATGAAGCCATGGTGCGCGAACTGGGCCTGATTGCTGCGCTAAGAATGACATCGTTGTCATTCTTAGTCATCGTTGGACAATTCTGCAGTGCACCGGCCAGAGAGTCAACATCGTGAATAAAGGATGGAGCTTCCAGCACACACTGTCAATGTTTTCTCATGGACATCCACGATTCACGCGCTACACCGGCTTCTTGCATATCTGTTTGCGCCCAAGTCACAGGATTTCTTGTTGCCATAGGTAACGTGCATGGTAGACAATTGAGCAGAGGGTCTGGAATACAAATGGATAGCTGAGCTGACCTGATCCTATTCAAATCATAAGAAGCGTTCACATCAACCTTTTGCTTCTTGTTTTTGACTTGCGTAGGGAGCAACAACGTCTAATTCATTTCTAAAATGAATTTGGCCTTGTTGCCTACTACACAACTTCCAAGACAAGCAGCTATGATCAGAATCTGATCACGACCTGCAGGGCAGCTGTACTCATGTGGTTCAACTACTCTTCTAGATACCTAAGTCAACTCAACCACCATTGACTCAGCAACTGTTCAACTGGTGATGCTCTACCAGCTCAATCCTAACCTACTTCTCCCCTGCATCAGGCCTGAAGTGAGTTCAGCGACTCTCTTGAACATCACTGATGCAATTATGGCCGCCATCCCCACACAGGCACCAGGGCAGCGCTCTGTCATGCTGCAGCAGAGCTAATTCGGTCCTGTTTCGGCAAACACAGACCACAGCGCTACTGTGGTGTCTCTTGACGCTGTGGCCAGCAGCGAGCCACCTGGCAAATAGGCCACGCCAGCCACCTCCTTAGTGTGGTACTTGAGGACCGCCAGCGGTACCCCCCGCTTGTAGTTCCACACCCGTGCCTTGCCATCCCACCCGCCTGTGGCAAATACCCTCCTGTCTGTGCGTATCGCCACACAGTTGATGCCCTCCTCCTTGACTCCCACCAGCTTCCTCAATCTCAGTGCCTTGGTTGGTTCCCCATCTTTTAGGCTCAGCATGGCAACCTGAGGAAGAGACCCACGGAAGGACTCAATGCTTCACGGCATTTGGCCCTGGTGAATGTGCGATGCTTTGTGCCAAATTCGCACTCAGAGCAGAGTTTCAGTCACACAACAAGCAATCACATACCATGCACTTCATCATGCTATCAATTTGAGCCAAAATGAGTCACATAGCGTGTGATACTTCATTTGCTTGCAGTACAATACGTACCAAAACTATGCCCGAATCAAAGTGGATAACATAACACACATTTATGTATTGGCTGGAGATGAAAGTAGATAGTCAAGCATCGTCACCTGCTTGGTGGCGCCGCCAGCCACCCCCCCTTTGCCCTCAACGTCGATTGTCAGAGACAGGGTGGGCTCATCAAAGAGTTTCAGTCTGACAAGGGGGTCAGAGGGGAAGCGGAGGTCCCACAGACCCACACTGCCATCTTCATAGCCCACAGCCACGCCCAAGTCATCGCCACCAGATTTGCGGTACAGATCCACAGCCATCACCATCCCCCATTTCTCATCGCCTTGGGCGCTCCTGAGGCTTGCCACCTTCCAAATGCGCAGCACATAAAAGTGGATACCGTCTTTTCCATCTGATGAAGACATTTCCTGCCCTGTCCTGGCAAGATTGGTGTGAGACATTTCACACACGTTGTTTCAAGGATGAAAAGGAGCCACAAACACACAACAGCATCCACCTGAACACACACATCCAAAAAGACTACAGAAGGGAAAGCCGGTCGCCGGCTGAGTCCCAGGCCACCATGTTTCATTTCTGTCAGGGCTTGAGGCTATTGTGCATTATTTTTGCCCTCTGATTCCCCTTTTGGGATCTCTGAGCGGTTCCTTTCTTTCATGGAACACCTTTTAGGACTTGATTGGCCAATGGGAATGCCATTTTTCGGAAGAACGTCTGTTTATGCGACCAGGCCCAGCGATCGCCTCATAGGTGGACGGGCAGCGATTCATTCCGTTTCCCGGCGAGGTGACAGCAGAGGTTCTGCCTGCGTTGTTGCCAAATGCCATTGTCGATGCGCATCGCCTTCCACAAAACCGGTGTTAGCCCGCTCTTGCAACCCAAACGGAAAATGCCGCACAAGGCGAATGCTGCCAGGGGCGGCGTTCGCTCGCCCAAGCAAACCCAAGGGGCTCGGTGTGCCTGCGTCCATTCACCATGGTCTCGGACGCACACACGCCCGTCACTGCCTACAAGGTGCAGGGACACCGCTTTGCCCCGTCGAGGGCAACTCCAAATGGAAGAAAAGAAGGAGAGGAAGGAGAAAGGAACGCAAGGAGACAGGAAATCAGCAGCATCCATTCAGCATCCATTCACCCCCCTGCAATGGCAAGCCAGCGCCACCCCCCTCCCGTCCCCCATACGGCCATCAACTCCTACCCCATGTAGCCTGCCTCATAGCCTCCACATGGCCTCCAAGACTGGCACCATACAGCCTCCAATATGGTCCCTATATTGCCCCCATACAGCCTCCCATCCCACCTGCTTGCCGACCTTCAGGTCTTTGCCCACCTGCTTGCCGGCCTCCAGGTCCACGACCTCCACCCGCCCCGGCTCCCCACACGGCGTCGCCATCACCACCCCATTGTCCACGCCCATCACCGCCACGCCGCACATTCCATAAGCCCCCGTCTCCACGCCTCCCCCGGACCCCTCCCCCACGCTCCCGTCGGGCCCCAGGGCCCACATCTCCACCTTCCCATCCCTGCCCTGGGTGACGATCGACGCGAGGCCGTGGCGATCGACCACGGCCAGGGACAGGACGCCGAACGGCGTGGGGTGGGGCTGGAAGGATGCGGCCGGGCGCCTGTGATGCAGATCCCACACCTTGACGACGCCTGCCGCGTCGCCCGAGGCCAGCAGGCGGCCGGAGGGGTGCAGGGACGCGCACTGGACGGGGCTGCCGTGGCCGCGGAGGACCGTGTCTGGCTGCAGCGGGGCGCCCGCGGAGGGGGGCATGCGGGAGGCGAACCCGCGGTGCTGGTGGCGGTTGGGAATGTGCAAAATATCTCCTCCAGTGGACGTTCCAGGTGTCTATAGATACTCCCCACGGGTACTATTACATAGATACTATTACACTAGCTATATCTATTAGATACATGTAGATACAAAGATACCTGTATTTAGATATTATATACTGTACCCTACCTGTAGATACTGTAGATGCAGGGATGTAGATACTTGTACATATTGCGGATACTGGAGATATCTATCCAAAAGGTAGGCGAGTATATCTGGCGCTGTAGATAACTGAGATACACCGTGGATGCGCGAAATATTAAGGAAATTGCGGAGTGCATGAGTACGTCAACAACCGTGGAAAGCATGCAAAATTCTGAGGTGCAAAGTTAAGCGAAACACCGGATTTTGTTGCTTTTAATTGTGGGTGTGAGGTTGGCCACATTTGTATCCCAGAACCACAGCAAAAGAACCCATCGGTCATCGATCGGTCGAAAAATCAATGCCTCGTTATTATTTGCTTACTGTTACATCTCATAGAAAGTGATAAAAAAGTCCTCTGCCGCCCATGAACGCCCCAGAAGTGGCATAAATTAAGGTGGTGGGATGGACCCATGCACATTTTCCGACAGAAAGAGTGGGGACGCCCAGCCTTGGGGCCCAGTGGTGTTTAAGCACTTTCCCGATGGCCTACAACATGTTCATAACATGGGAGATAATCTGCCGATGTCGGTTTGCCATCTGAAATCCAGTCATTCGCAATATGTCGACTGGCCACACAGGGCAGTGCCACATAAGAAGGCTCGCAATACATTCGAGTGCGACTACTGCGCCTTCGATCACCGCTCCCAAAACCGAGTCAAATACACAACGTCGTCCACACCAACTGCAGTATCCACACACACACACACACACACACCCCACTACCCCAAGAATTCAGAAAAAGTTTTGGAAGCATGTAAAGAGACTGAGGGGCAGCATGCTGCCCTCCAATCAAATGCTTGGCAGTCTGAAAATATCCACACGATTCGAATGTATGGGTGTATGGCCTACACTGGTACAGATTGGAAGGGGGCACGTTGCCACCAATGATATTAAGCGATGTGGGATGACCTTGTTAGTGTATGCCGGCATCGGCATCCATGGTACCAAGCACTGTGCCGCCTCCCATTAAAATTGCCAAAGGAGTTGTGCCAGCAGTATTTCTTGGTGTCAGCGCGTTGTCTGCCGGGCTGAACTGTCTCCGTATCGTGGAAGGCAGAAATATAGCACACATTGCTCCACAGGCCACAGTAAACAGGTGGCCTAGGTGCCAAAGTGAGTTGAATGCTATTGCATCTGCAGCAAAGACGCCTCAAGCTGGGTGGCCTTCATTCGCCCTGTCTCTTCCACAAATGTAAGCAATGGAACTAACACACAGGCATGTGCAGAGATGAGCCTCCTGGCTTGTGCTATTCATTAGTTCTCTGAAACGCGTTGACGAGGCCACTGCTCTAGTGACCAGCCCCACAACGAATTGTTTGCATTGTGTACCACGATATCATCAATTGGCAACGGAAATTGACAATGACAATGGAAAAAAATCAATATGCAATCAAGAAATCCTCCACAGCAACTAGTCAACCAATGGAAATGCTGCCGCTGTCTAACAATTTGAAAACCTGCTCAGTCCAGGCAAGGATGCCTCCCTGTGAATGTCAGGTGATGGCCACAAAGCATCAAAAGTCACCGTCTGCAAGTTCTCCGTGGTCTATGAGTGGCTGGTGCCATATTCGTATCGGCGGTGTGGCGCTGTTCGGAGTCCACCACAAGCTCAAGGAAGCTCTTTCCTTTCACGAGGTCAATGCACGAGCTACAATCCAAGGCACATTTCCTGATATCCAAAAAAAAAGCAATCAAAAGGCATGGCAGCTGTGAGAGGACAGGATGCACAGATGCCATTGCAGATGGGGCCCCATCAGCCATGAGAATCTGTTGCACATGCAAGGTAACCCATATGGAAGCAGGCAATTCTAGCCAGCCACAGCTAACATCTCCCCTAAACATCGGCACCAGTTGGAATTCCCCTTGAAAATGCAAATGACGGTGCTTAACCCTGCAGGCATTGATGGAACCTCAACTGGCAGCAAACAGTTAGGTTGCGCACACTCGGCAATTCAAATTGTAAGGACTTCACTAATGGCCACAACTGCTGAATCCACCAGTTCTAGCCATTTCTTCAATCATTTCTGTGGTTACTGAAGCTCACAACAGATTATAATTCAAATAATTCAATAATTCAGATGATAATTCAGGTATTTTCGAGACATGTACTGCCGTGCAAGGACTGTATGCTTTCTCTCTAAGGCAGAATGACACAAACAGGGCTGGCAAAGATGATTGAAATGGCTGTTGTGGAGTCCCACCCAAAGCGATCGATTTTCTTCAAGTTTTGTTGGCTCCATTTTGACAGTTTCCTCTTCCCAAGCTGTGACTTCATTTTGGCAGCAACAATCTTGGCCAGATAATTCATCCACAGGCAGTTGGTCTTGGGAAAGTATTGTTCCCATTGGCCCTGTGTGAGCTTGTACATGTCGCGATACACCTTGCTTTGGTGTTTGGCATTGATGTCCACAAGAGAGTTCTGGTCATGGCTTTGTGTTGCCTCCTTCAAGACACATCCAGGTTATCAGCGAAGCTTGAAGCCTGTCCGTAAGATTGCTGCACACAACTGTGTGGTCCTCCAGCACAAAAGCACCACTATCGCAGCAGGAAGGGTGCTGGGCGGTGTCGATAGTTGCTAGGATAGTTTGTTCTTCGAGCCCAAACCCAACTGAAACAAACCTAGACTAGACGAAGCACGTTTAGGTGCAATATGTATTTCCTGGGATGGTAGGGCAAGCCATGTGAGGGCATGATGTGGTGACCCTTCCAGGAAGAGAGTCTGACCAAGTCTGGCCAAGGACGTGCAGCTTCCCCACATGAAGGCCAATTCAGCGATTTTGAGGCATTAATTTCTGGTGTATATTCTCCAGAGTACATTGGGCACCAGCAACCGACTTTTGTGCCAGTTGGCTTACATTCAGCAATAAATGTCAGTCAACTGCAGATAAATGTCAGTCAACTGCAGTGCACATTGTCACATCAAGTTGGACACATAAAACTGCACCAGGAGCATCAGCTACTGTAACCACGTGATATGTGCTTGATCCAAGGCCTGTCCCTGGTACTGGGTAGCAAAATGTGTCATATATGAACTGACCAGTGCCAGAGAGTGGCAGTGCCACAGCACACACAAGAATCTCGTGTGGCAGGACACACACAGGATCTTCAAATCGATGTGCTTGTGAGATTCCCACTGCAGTGCACTGTCTGATATGTTGTGCTGAGTTTAGCTACATGACCTAAATATGAGCAGATACATACAATTGAGTAAATCTACTGTTAGTGCTCTGGCTATTCTCTACAACAGCATTTGCATCGGTTCAAACCTGCTCACCTGGGTGCCTGATTGTGACTCGCCATAAAGTTCAGGGTCAACATCAGTGTAGGAGACCACCCCCCCAGCTGTACGTGCACGAGACATTGTGAAGTCAATGAGTGCGACTTTGATGCCTCCATTTGACGCCCTCAATTCCTCTCCACTGGCCAGTCGGTATTCAGAAACCCAGATTTGGAAGTCAATAAGTTGCTAATGGATCAATTGCAAATGCAAAGCACCACCGCAACCAGTGACAAGACTGATGACAGACATTCCAAGGGCTTATTATGTACTGGAATTGACTTCTCACATAGTCCTTGTTGACTGAATCTGCTCAACCAGAGGGTGACCCATACACATGAATTCGGAGATGCAGGGGAATGCAACCAGCTCAGTGAAGAGCAAAATCTGACCTGTAGCATTGAGAACCCACGTGACCGGATACTGTCCAACTATTGTGTGCTCCTCCCTATGGGCTGTTGGAAAGGCTGTTGTGAATAACATTTTGACAAATCCAAGTATTTGCCCTGACATTAATCTGCTTTATCTGGTACATAGGAGGTTGGATGTAGAAGCCCTTGATGGAACGATGTCCTTGATCGATTGGTGGAGAATGCTGCGGCAAGGGCCAGGTTGTTGCTCCCAATAAAATTGCAAGCTGCCACATTTCTGACAGTCTCCATGGCATTAAAGCAGTGGCATAGCTGTGCTATTTGAGGGCTGTACTTGCCTTTAGATGTCAAAGATCTGTTCAGCACAATGACAAGTCAAGCATGCGATGTATGACTTGACTTTATGTTGCTCAGTGCAGAATGTTGCAAGTATCATTTCAGCTCGCATCACTTGTGTGCCATGTACTGCACTGACTTCATGCACTCCAAGTCCCCTGTGTGCTTGAAACAACTTAGTACCTGAGCTTCATCCAGGTGGTGCAATTATCTGTCCGTTGCAGCACCAAATTGCCCCAATGCAAGTCCCTATGCTCAAATTCGTGTGCTGCCTCTCCCACTGCCAGCGTCAGTGCAACCTGTGCACAAACTCCAGTCGGAGCCACACTCAGTCGATTGAAGCAGCAACCACTGGCACAACAAGTAAGATGACTTGGGCACACATTCTGTGTACTTTCTATGAAGTGTTGGAGACTCAACACCATATTGTAGGCATTATGGCCATTGTGAAAATGCCCCTGAACATAGGCGCCACCAAAGTTCCAACGGTGCTTTTTGCCTTCCCAATTCCACTCGATATCTCTTAAACACACAATATGCACCCCAATTCCTCTAGATCCAGGATTCGAAGGTGTGATGCCAAACAGAACCTTGTACTGTGTCAAGAACGTCGACTTGCTGAGGCAACTGAACCATGCATGCATGCAGACAAGAAAGAAAATCAAAAGAAGAAAAATTGTTGTAAGCCAGAACATCAGAGATTTGACAGAGATGTTTGTGAGGAACTGCTCTTGCTACTGGTGTGCTAGTTCGCATGAAGGAGTGCAAACACTGGCCTTGTGCATGAGAGCAGTGCTTGACATCGCCCTGCA